CTCGGAGAGGGAGGGCAGGCTGCTCATGAGCTCAGAAGTTCGCGTACGGAGACGTGGCCGAGGGCATAATGTTACAGTGAGGAATGGCCGGCGCTTTGCAGTAGCTTTGTTAGCATCCGTGCCTCCAGCCGGTTGAGGGTCGTGTCTCTCCTCTGCTAAATCACATCATTCCTTCGTGATCCGGTGGAATCTGGTCGAGCTCTGTTTTCCTTGTGCAGTACCGGGAATGTAGAGCCTCCTTCATGGATCGCTCAGGTAGCTGCTCCCCTCGCAGTCCCACCTAGGGATTTGTTATGAAAGGTTTAAGATACCTGTGGGCTTCAAAATTAAATAAAGTGCAAAATGTGAAATGAATTGTAATGATTTGATTTCTCTCACGTGCATCTGTGTTGCTTCCTGCTCTAGAAATGGATTGTGAAGCACTTAAAAAATACTCAGCGTTACATCCTAAACCTGCTGGACTTACCCTTCAGTATGGCACCGCTGGATTTCGCACCAAGGCCGAACAGCTCGACCACGTCATGTTCCGCATGGGCCTGCTGGCGGTTCTCAGGTCCAAAGCCGTGTCGTCTACCATTGGCATCATGGTTACAGCATCTCACAATCCTGAAGTAAGAACAGCCTTTTCTTTAAAAAGACAGTAGGTGTGATCAGTCTGGTGGAATCAAAGCCCTTTGTGGTGCTTGGAGACCAGATCCTGAAGGCCCTTGGACCTACTTAAACCCTGTGTTTAGCCTGGTCCCTGTAAATATGATATCTGTGTTCTTTACATTACTTTTCCCCATATGTAGGAGCTTCATTTCCTATCATGTGGGAATCCTCTCATGTAGGATATTTGTAATGCTGGCAAGCTAAGAGTATCCTTGAGATGAACCTTTGAACAAAATCTGCTAGTCTGAAAAATACAGAGGTACAGCCATTTCAAAGCAGGCATTTAGATTTCTACTGCTGTGGAGCATTCCAGATTTCTAGACTCTCCCCTTGTATCATTTTAATGTCAAATTCATTTCATATAAGGGGAAGGAAACTCGGTTGCTTAATATGCTGGTAGTGTAACTTTTTTGGGCTTATCAGAGGTTTAAATAAAGAGATAAACTATTGCTTCCCAGAAATGCTCCACACCTAAAGAAGCACTGTGATTTAAACCACGTGTTGGCTGTCTTCAAAGGGGTTTTATTAAGTTTCCCGCTTTTAGACATGGCATCTTGTGTTCTGCTTCCCTCTAAGGAAGATAACGGTGTAAAGCTGGTTGATCCTCTTGGTGAAATGCTGCACCCTTCCTGGGAAGAGTATGCCACGCAACTAGCAAACGCAGAGGAGCAAGAATTACAGAAAATAATAACTGAGATCTGCCAAAAAGCAGCAGTGAACCAGCACGAAGAGGCTTCAGTGTTTCTTGGTAGAGACACCAGGTAATTACAGAATGTTGTAGATGTGTGCTGCTTTTATGGAAATGCCAGCGTTTCGTTCATGGGTGCTTTTGGATGTTAGCTCTCTGCAGCCAGATTGTGCTTTCATTTATTCATAGAGTCATATAAATGGTTTGGGTTGGAAGGGACCTTAAAGACCATCTAGTTCCAACCCCCCTGCCATGGGCAGGGACACCTTCCACTAGACCAGGTTGCTCAAAGCCTCATCCAGCCTGGCCTTGAACACTTCCAGGGATGGGGCATCCACAGCTTCTCTGGGCAACCTGTGCCAGTGCCTCACCACCCTCTCCGGGAAGAATTTCTTCCTGATATCCAACCTAAACCTCCCCACTTTCAATTTGTACCCGTTACCCCTTGTCCTGTCACTACAGGCCCTTGTAAAAAGTGTGTCCCCCCAGCTTATTGTATTCCTTGTCTGCTGCCTTTTAAGGTAATTTATGATTAGAGCAGTAAACAAGTTTTCCAGGGCTGTTCCTATGTTAGCTTCCCTGATAGTTATGAGTACTTTCTAGCACCATTTCTGAACTCCATGCTTAACTGTGGGCGTGTGTGGGGGGGGGTTTGTTGTGGCCACCATGTGATTTTGACGTGTCTTCAGCAGTTTACTTGCCTTTGCACTTCTCTGGGATGGTGGCTTTCCAACTTTTTTCTTGGGAGGCCCCCTACATTAGAAAAAGGTATGGATTTCTTGATACTGCATCTTAAGTCTCCTGGCAGGAAGCTTGTAGAGTCGTCTTCCACGTGTGCCTCCTTCCCAGCCTGTGGAGGCTGTCGGTCACATCTGTTGTTTTCCAGGCCGAGCAGCGAGAAACTGGCACAGTCAGTAAGGGACGGCGTCTCCGTTCTGGGCGGTCGCTACCACGGTACGTTGGGCTTTGGCAGTTCCAGCCCGATTTCAAGTTTTTATGTAAAAGTGACATTTTCGTAGACCTAAACCAGTGGCCCAGGCACTGTTTCCACTTGGAATGGTCTGTCGGGATAGTCGTATGGCTCTAACGCGAGTCGGGGGGAGGGGGCCGCGTGTCATCTTTTTGTAACAGAACTTGACAAGTGTAATAGGGGTTTCCTGCACCGCGTTCATCTCTTCACTGCAGAACAGCAAGTACTGGTCAGCTTGTAAGGAGGAATGAATTTAGTACTCTGTTTCTGAATGCTGTGCCTTTTATTTTATGCTAGATTATGGTCTGGTGACAACGCCACAGCTACATTACATGGTCTGCTGTTGGAACACCCACGGGCAGTATGGGAAAGCAACGCTGGAAGGTTATTATGAAAAGCTATCCAAAGCTTTCACGGAACTGATAAAACAGGTGAATACTGGGCGTCGTCTCCTTCAACCAAATGCATGTCTGCTGTTTGTCAGCCTGCTGGGGTCTGGAGTTTGAAGTTCAGCATGCCTCTAGGGGTGGTTTCACTAGGCCAAGAGTTCACTTTGCCCCTTCCTTCCTCATGCTCAGTCTCCCACCTCTGGAGAGAGTCAGAGGCACCTGAAGATTGACTGTGCCAATGGAATAGGAGCCCTGAAACTCTCAGAAATGGAGCCCTACTTTCCAAAGGAGGTGCTAATTCACCTGTATAATGATGGGACCAAGGAGAAACTCAACCACTTCTGTGGTGCGGATTTCGTAAAAGTTCACCAGAAACCACCTAGAGGTAAGTAGTAATTTTGCACCCTTTTACCTCCTCTCTAGCTCTGAAAGCAGAGGCTCTAGCAGTGGTGGATCATCTTTGGGTAAGCTGAGCTCCCTATTTCCAAGTGACTGCATGAATGGCTCCGTTTGCACAATGGGAAGAGAGAATCCTACGGCTGGTTTTGGCAAGTCCCTAGTTTATGTTAGTCTAAACTGTTTGGAGGACTACGGTATGTCTGTGACTGACTGAACTATGTTTCACAACCCAGTCTGAATGTTAAGCTGGCAGAGTCCAGAGATCAGTCAGGACTGGCTCACTTTTATTTACTTTACTTCCCTCTGTGTTACCAAGAATCGTTTACATTGTGGGCTGGGGTTGCACTTTTCCAGGTTCCTGGGGAAGAACTGGGATAATTAACAGCTTAATGCCAGCAGACTGGCTGACTGGAATAAACCAGTGAGGAAATTATATGATCCAATTTCCTGCATAAAGTGCAGCCCTGAGGAGAAGGACTTGGGGGTACTGGTGGATGAAAAGCTGAACATGAGCCGGCAGTGTGCGCTGGCAGCCCAGAAAGCCAACTGTATCCTGGGCTGTATCCAGAGAAGTGTGGCCAGCAGGTCGAGGGAGGGGATTCTGCCCCTCTACTCTGCTCTGGTGAGACCCCACCTGGAGTGCTGCGTCCAGCTGTGGAGCCCTCAACATCAGAAGGATATACGCTGGTTGGAGTGAGTACAGAGGAGACTGCAAAGATGGTCAGAGGGCTGGAGCACCTCTGCTATGGGGACAGGCTGAGAGAGTTGGGCTTGTTCAGCCTGGAGAAGAGAAGGCTCCAGGGAGACCTTATAGCTCCTTCCAGTACCTGAAGGGGCTACAAGGAAGCTGGGGGGGACTTTTTACAAGGGCCTGTAGTGACAGGACAAGGGGCAATGGGTTTAAACTGAAAGTGGGGAGGTTTAGATTGGATATCAGGAAGAAATTCTTCCTGGAGAGGGTGGTGAGGCACTGGAACAGGTTGCCCAGAGAAGCTGTGGATGCCCCATCCCTGGA